CCCCCCCCCCCACCCCCCGGCAAGATGTCAATCAAATATTCACGTACCAAGAGACTCAGAACGACCACAAAGAGACATGAACAGTCCGCAAAGGGACACAAAATAATAAAAAAAATAGACTTTTAATAACTTAAAAGAGGCTCAAATAAACAACAAGTAGAACGTGAGGAAAGCACAGGGACTCTTCATATTTACATATAGACTCAAAATGACAACAAAGAATAGCACAATGATTATAAAGAGGCTCTCAATGACTACACAGTGAAAAAAAATACACAAATAGACTCGAAATAATTACAAATCAAAATGAATACAAAGAGACCCTAATTGACTGCAAAGAGACTCAAAATGACAACATAGAGAGATTCGTAAGGAGTGCAAAGAGACAGAAAACAACATCAAACTATGAAGTCTTTAAAAACGAAATGATGTGGTGTTATATACCAAATACCAGGTCTTGCTTTTTATTGATGCCCTTTATTGGTGTCTGTATCTACTTAGAGCATTACTGTTTTTTTTTTTTTTTTTAGATCAATCCGTCCTTATTCATCTATTTAAATATGCACGTTTAAAAGAATGGGTCTTATAATTTAGAGACACTGCTTAAAGAACTCATTATTTCAGAATCCCTGCTTTGAACGAAAGTAGGATCTTAGCTTTGAAACTAAATGCATTTAAAAAAGATTGTTACTATTAAGTGGATTTCCAGATACGCTATTTTAGCATCCTATAACTTGATATTCTTTAGTTTTCCATTGGTTTCTGGTATCTCATATTGAAACTCAGTCGTTTGCTGAGTCCTAGATTTGCTAAATTGTGTGTATTATACAACAAAAAGAGTGAAGAATCAAAGTTTTATTAATTTAGTAGCCAAAGTTGTACCTTTTTAAAACTTTAAGGTCAGACAAGCAATAACAGCATCTTCTTATTTCTCATTACAAACTAGCACACACATGCTTTGCATAATCAGGTCTCCTCACGAAGGACGGAGAGCGGAACCAGATTTAAGGAGACCTATTTTTCAGGGGAAGCATTCTTGAGTGACAGCTCACCTTTCCTTGCTTTCAGGAGTACAGTAGGCAATAAAAACACACACAGTCATCCCTGTTGCAGAGTTATGTGAATCCAGTTTCAGCTTTTATGGCTGCAGACAGTCTCATGGGATGTTGAGACTCCTCTGATCCGGGACTGCACAGGAATTATATTGAGATTAAAGAGTTATGAGACTTTTCTTTGGTGCTGAAAAGAAACACGCACCAGGTTTCAATAAGAAAACGGGGCTCATTTCTGAAGAAAGTCAACTGTGATAACCTTTAACGGGTGGCTTTCAAGAGACCTCTGGATGCCATGGGTCAATGCACAAAATCTGACTTTTCTGAAAATAGTAGTCAATTCCATTCACAATGTTGAATGTGACCGTAGACAAAAAGACAAATGTCAGAGGATATAAATATGGACCTAGCTGTAAATGATAGTGGCACTAGCCTTCATACGGATTTACTTCTTTCTGTCGTCTAGAAATTTATGTTTTTAGTGAATTATGCCAACAGAAAGACAGCTCTCTGTGTTTTTACAGATGAATCACGCTACGCTGCTTTTGCAAGGTGTGTTGCCTGAGGGTATAAATCACCTATACAAACTATTCCAGCTTTCTGGATTATCCTGGAGGGCGAGGCCCCTGAAAGCCAAAGAAAAGAAAACACCAACATAATGGCAGCTATACTAGATGTTTTCATAACAACACTGGATATACAGATTATGTGTAATGTGAAAGATGTAGCTTGCATTCTGCAGTTTCTCTCTTTGGAGCTTTATAGCGTCTTTGAGCTCATTGTTTTGGTTAATTCCAACAACTTTACTGTTTCGGTTCAGTTCTCAAAGTTCCATTGTTGTCTGCAACAGGCAGCTGCAAAAAGCTCCAAATATTCACTACCTTCCCAGCCCCAAATCCCAAATGGCAGACAGAGAACCTTAGCAACTAGCTAGAGAACATAGCAAGCATTTTGAAGCCAGATTTTGGTGGGGACGAAACATAGCTAAAAGCAGTCCTGATGCAACCAGCTGTGAGCTGAAACATTGTGTAGGCGACTTTTGCATTCGGTTCATTATGAAGATTTCCAGCTTACACCACCAATGTAAATTCAAAATTCTCCAAACAGTACAGTTGCAGTTAGCATCCATGTCTGTCCTAAATGCCATAATAATAGTTTCTTAAGAACATGTTTTGTGAAGTTATGTTGACTTTGACCCTCGGTCCAAATGGACGTTTGTGCTAAGACATTCCGGAGGTATTGCATTCAGGAGAAAGAGACAGATGGACAACCAGCACAACATAATGCCTCAGGACTTTAACAGTTCAGTAAAAAGCGAGACTATGTAACATTTGCTAAAGAGCACCACAGTGGCAAAAGTAACAATTAGAGTCATGGTAAATGCTAAAATACAGTGTAATGGTATCAAGTCCTCAGAAATATCTATCTTAATTAAGATAACATTAGATAGAGATTTTTTGTAAGGATGTGACCTTTACTTTTTCAAAACTAACAAAATAATACTTTATATTACAGTACTTTTGCCAACAAACAGTAGGACTCAGTCAACATTTGTAAAATGCCTAACTCTTCACAAATATGACCAAGGACATGACCTTGGTGTCTTAATGGGTGCTCCCATTAACCCTAACCCTAACCTAACCCTAACCCAACACATTGAAAAAATGTTTAAATTCTAACCAGCTGTCTTTGACACATTGCTTTTATTCCCAGGGGATTTGCTTTCACTCCCTGTTTTTAAATAGTCCAGCACAAATACAAAATAAGAAAAGGATAGGAAGGGGGTGCACTCATTGCTCTGTGATGATGAGGGCTGTCTATACGCTGTACCCCTCCCACACACTCCCCTAAATGGGAGTGAGTGATTTTGAAAGAGGGAAGGACTTCCCTTAATTTACTGCCAGTTTTGAATGGCTTGAATTGAGTCTCATTGGATGCAGAATACAGTGTGAACCTTTAGTAACACACTGCCACTGGTGCTGCTGCTGCTGGTGTCCCCTCAACGTGCCTTGACCTTCAGACTCAATCAGGATCCATCCCTGAAGAGGACACTCGGCTGGATGCTCAGGACATGGAAACAAACCAACTCTGAATGAAGAATCCTTCTCCTTTTCCCTACTTGCACTTTTCCTGAACTTCCTCACTGCCAGGAGAGCTCTATAGAGCTGAATACATTGGAAAGCGAAGTCAGCAACATTGTGAGTTATGCATGCCTGATGCCTGAGTCTCAAAGCCTCATGCTTGTTAAAGCTTGTTCTCTGAGTTTTTTTCTGGAAGGTATTAAAATGTGAGGACGTGTCAGGGTCTTTTTATCCATCTGTGTCTTCTCTTTATCTCTCAGGGAAGTCATGCTGCCTTCTCTGCACTGGCTCCTGCTCCTGTGGGGACTCCAAGGTCTCTGTGCACAGGACTATGATGAAGACTATGAGGAAGAGGTGGTGACCACTAAGAAGAAGCTCAAAGTAATTCCCTCCAATTCCATAACGCAGAAATGTAAGTATTTTTTCTACATTTGCCCTGGGGCTGTTTCATTGTCTATTTTACACTGATGCAACTAGGTAAAGTGGCATGGAGTTTGTGAAGGCAGAACATCTTTCACTTTTTTCATCACCGGGAGAAAAAGCTGCTGCCACAGGTAAAAAAAATAAAATCGAACATGATACTCAACAAGCACATCGCTGGAGGATGCAATCCACTCGGATTGATCATATCTCTAAGGCTTCTCGGAGCCATCCATCTCCTTTGTGACCGCTCAGTGCTCTGTTACCCAAATGTTTTATACGCTCAGAATCCTGGTTCCCCAGGCGCATTCTCTCAGTGACATATTTCCGCCAAGATTAATGTGATTTATCCTCAGCTTCTATTAGATCTGTGACCTCCTTCCTTTGCTGAAGGTTGGTGCGGCAAGTTAAGTTGCTTTTATTCCCTCTTCAAAATGTATGTCACATTCATGAACTTATCACACTTTTCCGGAAAAGGAAGCCTATAGAGCCTAAATAGTCAGTAAATCACCTTTACCCCTCCTGAAGGCTCCATAGATAAAGATTTATCCCTGACTCATAAAATCCATTTAGCTGTGAAGACGTGTATCTATATATTTGGCTGGATATGAAATTCTTTTTCCACAAACCAACTACAATATATCTTGTTCAGACAAGTTGAACAGCCATACTGTGTTGATATGAGAGTAATTGTGATGTGTTTTGATTGTAAAGGTCCAGACAAGTAACTTGGCAACAGAAAATTCATGAATAATACATCATGTGCAGTTAACTTGTTGGTTTGTTTTCTTCATCACAAACAATTACAAATATCATCTTATGATGAAATGCCAGCAAGTAATGGTATGCAATCCTTTTAGTTTCCCCTTGTTTACAGTCTAAGCTAGGCTAACCAGTGTAAAGAGTGTTAGGTTTTCTCACCAAACTGAAGAAAAATAAATAAGGCCCCAATTATACTGGGTTGTTTTTTGTGATTGTTGATAGGCAACCACCAAATCACCTGTTAGGCTCTCCATTCCTCTGACCACAGGGCTGAAAGCATGTTAGCTACAGTAACAGTAGTTGCGGCTATTGCAGCTAGTGCAATGTTGAAAGTGAGCTAACGTTAGCTTAGCGCAAAACACCACAGAAGGTCCAACTCTCAAATGAATCAATTACTTTTCTGCTTTGAGTCTTTTTAACTTGAGAGCAATCTTGTAAAAACTCGAGTCACATTGAGCGTACGATTCCACGAAAATGCTTCACTGTAATAAAAAATTATTATAAAAGTGTCCAAAGCGGCTGTCTGAATCAGTGCAAACCCTTGTTTCTTTCTTTTGATATCATTGCTAAGATTTCTTCTCTTCCTTCCTTAGCACTCATAGATGAAGATTGCAGTTTGGAGATAGCCTTCCTGATCGACAGCTCAGAGAGCGCCAAGGACAACCATGCCCAGGAGAAGCGCTTCGCCTCGGACGTGATGGGCCGGCTCCAGAACCTTCGGCTGCAGACTGGCCGGGGCCTCAGCTCCAGGGCCGCCCTCCTCCAGTACAGCAGCCATGTCATCATAGAGCAGACCTTCAAACAGTGGAGGGGTATTGAAGACTTCAAGGCTCGAATCACACCCATCGCGTACATCGGTCACGGCACCTACACCACCTACGCCATCACCAACCTCACCCGTATCTACCTGGAGGAGTCGGGTCCCAGCAGCATCAAGGTGGCCGTCCTGCTCTTCGACGGCGTCTCACACCCGAGGAACCCAGATATATTTTCTGCCGTGGCTGATGCCAAAAACCAGGGCGTCCGATTCTTCACCATCGGCATCACACCTGAAGCCAATGAGCAGGCCAACGTAGCCCAGCTGCGGCTAATCGCTAGCTCCCCTGCCTCCCGCTACCTTCACAACTTGCAGGACCGAAGCATTGTGGATAAATTCATCAAGGAGATTGTGAGTAAAACATACATGTGGTTTTTGTTTCAGATTTGATAACGAATTTTCAATAGTGACATTGGTCAAATCAGCTTTCTGGTTTTAGATGCTATGCATTTATAAAGTCATTGATTTGGACAAAAATAAATTACAAAGGTACTTTAATCGTTTGTGTAATTGCATAATATTTTTATTTTTTGTTTATTACCAGTAATGCAAACTAGAGTTTTAGCTTCTCTAACTTCTTCATTCCCCCAAAAAGCAAGTCCCTACAAAACCCACTGCTTTATTCTTTACCCCATTACATCACGGATGTACACCTGCCACCTGCTGCCATAGTAACAGTTCTTCTGTCATCACTGTAAGATGAATGCATCCTGATTCACTCAGTTGGGCGAAAAAATGTCTTTGAAAATTATTTTTTGCACAAACGTGTGTTGGGAATTACCCCAAGACAAAGTTTGTCTTCATTCCCAGTTTTTTATCGTGAGTGATTTGGGTCACTTCCATGAACTGACGGTTAATTTCCACTGACATAATTAGAACATGTGCTGCGCAGCAACATCCTGCAGACACAACCAGGCTGCTGGCTGTAACATATGCTCCGTGTTATAAAACTCCTTGTGGGAAAATCGGCTGCAGTGAGAGCACAGCATGAACATGCATGCACGCTACATTTTTCTACCCGCTCCACAGACACCACTTCAAACTCTTAATGTTGACACAGGTGGTATACGTCCAAATATGATAAGGGGAAACTTTATAGAAAACTTGCATCGAGGCTCCGACAGCATTGATCCTGACAGCCTGCAATTCTGCTGGCATGCAAGAGCCCAGCAGCACACTTTCATCTCATTGCCCTCCATGGGCAGCATCTGTGTGTCATCAGAAAGTTGCTCAGCTGAGACACTGTCTTTAATCTTTCAGTCTCAACATTTGACCACATCACTCCCCTGTCTGTTGTCTTCAGACACCCCACCCCAACACCGAAACATCCCCTGAATGCTTAGCGAGGATATTTTACCCATCAATGCATGTGGTTTGTTTTTCGTCTCATTGGAATTGTGACCATTCCTCCTTGTGTAGAGAATGTGGTTAGCTTTGAAGAAAACAAAGTGTCTGGTGAAAATCGGAGCTTTGCCAAGACGAGGAAACGAAGGATGTGAACCCACTTGCAGAAACAGGTGGAGGAGGTCGAAGGCCTGAACCCAAGCCAGCTGTGGACACGTTTAATTGGGTGTTTGGGTATCAGGTGCTTGGGGCTCTAATAAAATCTTACAATCTAACTTTGAGACCAGAAGTAAATGGTTTAGGTTACTTTATTTGTACGTAGGTAGATTTTGGGTTGCGAGGCATCCATCTTTAGACAAACAAAATACCACAACAATCATAACCTAAACCACGAAAATAAAATGACAATAAATAAGTATTGCTTTCATAGTATCTGTACAACTTTGTTCATCTGATTGATGGCCGCTGGAAGATGTTTTTATTTCTGCATGTTCATCACTTTAGGACCATAAACCTCCGGGTTGTATCTCTATTTAAAAATGGATGTATCCGCTTTACTGTCTGGTTTAACAGGGACCACGGATTAAGCTGAGAGTCATCCATCAGTCCACTTCGACAATATCTCAATTGTAGTCTTTGATTCCCGTGATATGCTCTGACAGTGTGTGCTGGGGGGGGGGGGGGGTACATGAACCATATGGCCTCAGTCTGACAACATCTTGACATTCTTCTGTTTCTTGCTCCACAGACGGCTCTGGCAGATGAAGGGGTAAGTCTCATGACTGAGCTTTTTTCTTTGCACATTTCTTGATTTATGTCCCCAAATGTCTGACTCTTCTTTCCCTGTGTTTGAAGTGTCCTCTGGCCCAGAGCAAGTGTGCTTGTGACAAGGGTGAGAGGGGACCCAGCGGCCCTGCTGTGAGTATGAATGCATCATTATGATTATTAAGTTATTGTTCATCCCCCTTTCTCATTATATCAGAATTGATTGGAAGGGATCATTTTAATTTCATTATAGACACTTTGAAAAAGTCAGAAGTATCTTTTTTTGCGTCAGTTGATTTCAAACTGTTGATAATTTAGCCACTTGTTAGCTTGTTTTTGTAGCAGAACAAAAGCTGAATATGTAATATGATTATACTTTAGCAAACCCAGCGTTAGCTTTGGAAACTAAGAATGATAAAGTTATATTTTCATAACTATGAGCATAGTATTATGTATTAAACTATTGGTTCAAAAATATACATTATTTGTTGCTGTAAGGAAAATATCTCATACTTCTGGTTGTCCCCTCAACTTTAGATAGATATCGTCGTGCTATTTTCTAGGAACACAGTAATGCTGTGTACCGGTCATCTCAAGCGCTACTTATTTTTAATAACTTCATATTTCACTTTGTATGGTTCTATTTTGGACCTCCTCTGCGAGATACAGTAAGATTATGTTTCCGATCTTGAAACCCCATAAAAACCATCACTTCCAAGTGAAGCGCTGTAGAGGACAGCACAGCTGACAAAAGGCTCCCTAGATGCCAACAGGCTACATAATTGCAGGGTTTTGGGGAGCTTTAGTAAATCATGCGGTTTTGAGTATCTCTGTTTCCCTGCAGCAGTGTTAGTAAAGCAAAATACCTTGCATTCCTCTTAAAGTTTATTGAGAACAGGCCTAAACAGATATGTACATGGGTAATCAGGAGGATCATGTCTTTCCAAAGAACCCAGCCACTTGGGATTGTCTGAGGACAAATGCTCTCTGGATAGGAGGTTACATGCACAACTTTCTTCTTCTGCCAATGCCTTTTATTACACAGTGAAGGTCAGCGGCAATTAGACGTAGTGGTTGGGCTTTGATGTATTTTCACAGGATGAGAACAGAGTAATTACCCCTTTAAACTTAATGCTCCGAACAAAAGCTGTTTCACATCAGCCGCAGCGCACTGACAGACTGGGAGATATTTAAAAGATAACAACATGCACGATGCATGGAAACAGAGAGAAGAGCCAGACAGTTGTTGGGGTGATTCCTCTCACACACATACAGACAACTGGATAACCCCTCTGACTCATCTGCGCCCAGACTTCACCAGAGCTGCACAACATTTTGCTGCAACATGGAGCCGAGGGGTCAAGAAAAAGATCTCTTGAATTGCGTATTGCAGAACACAAGGCAGCTAACAAGAAAAAAGACTCTTCTATTAGCAGCTAAAGCAAAACATGAATGAATAGCTACACTACAAGTTAAAGCGGTTGTTCCCTTCTTTAAAATAGTTGCCAAACTTAAAGGCATAGTTGAACATTGTGGGATTTACACCCATTCACTTTCTTGCTCTGTCAGATGAGAAGATGTATACCACTTATGTCTGTCAGGAAATATGAAGCTACAGCTAGTTAGCTTAGCTTAGCATAAAGCTTATTCAGCCTATTAACAGCTCACAGGCTTATTAATAAACCATGTACTTGTTGGTTTAGCTTCCCTCTGTTAGCCTTTATGCTAAGATAACCTGCTGAAGGCTAAGTTGGATGTTCTTTATTATTATTGATTTAAATGTCATATTAGGTTTAAAGGTATCACATGTTATTTCCTGCATAACCACTTTTATAAAGTGGCTAAAGCTTACCTTAACATGTTTTGTATGTAAATGTAGAAAATAAGGATTTATTAGGAGTACAATTGTATGATTTGTTTTTATTCAGTTGTTTTACTTCCATTATTTTCTACACAGGGCAAGAAGGGCCGTCCTGGAGAAGATGGAAACCCCGGCACGAAAGGACACAAGGTGTTCCCCCGTTAAACAATCACTCATTCACTACCGGTTCGAGACAAGAAGCTTCTCGTACAAACCAGGAGGCCTTTCCTTGTAAAACTAATATTCCTCTCTCCCTTAGGGTGAGGGTGGGCTCAGTGGACTTCCTGGTCGGGAAGGATCTGAGGTGAGTTTAGTGTCTTCAATCAACTTGGGATTAAGTCAAAATTGACAAGTAGCCTACAGATAAACAAACTGTAATTATGTTCACCTTTCACACTACCATTGCTCGGACAAAAAGTGACAACTATTTTTCTGGGTTTTGTGTGGCAGTGTTTTGTCTGACTTAACATGACTGTTTTATACACACAGGGGAAATCTGGATACAAAGGAGAGAAGGTATTGTATGGATTCTATTTACTGTGCAGTCTCTATAGATTATCAGATTCCCACGCTTGTGTAAAATATGCAACAATCAGAGAGTGAAGAATTATGCTTCCAAGGCCTTGAAAGGAAACACTCACAGGAAAGACTTTGAAATATCATGGCCTTTTGTTCTCCTTTTTATTCATCTGTATTTAATGCCAAGCCTGTCTGCTAGAATCTGTAGTTACTTTTCTTTTAAAGGAATTTAATTAAGTAGGTCCCATCTAGTTAGGCTTTGCTCACCAGCACCTGGCTGGGATATTAAAACCCATTTTCCAAGATAAATCTCTCTCCTGGAAATCTGTGTCATAAACTTGAAATGATGCAAGATGACGCTTTACTAAACTGCTTTTCCTTCTCTTACAGGGAGAGAGAGGGGAGTGTGGCACTCCTGGAATTAAGGGAGACAGAGTACGTGCTGCTTAATGTTGTTATAATTTAAAACCAAGTCTAACTTTTTGTCACATTTGTCATTTTTACTCAACCCTGTTTTCTTTCTTCTTCTATTATTTTTGTATTATTTTCATGGACTTTAATTGTTTTAACACCTTTTCTAGGGTCCTGAAGGTACACTTGGCCCAAGAGGAAATCGTGGACTTCAGGTGAAATATATCACAAAATCCAATTCACCATTTGCTCTGTCCCATTAGTTATGATGCTAAATCTGAAATGCTATCCATTCTGATCATTCTTCATCTTCTAATTTCTACTTTTCAATGCCCCTGTGTAACCTTCTCTCTCTTCTTCACATTACAGGGTTCAGTTGGTCCACCTGGCGACAATGGGCCTGAAGGTCCAATGGGTAAAAAAGTAAGTATTCTTCAGTCTTGATGCTTTTTAAATCGAACCAAACCTCTGTATCTGGGATGTGTTAAGAACAAAAGGAAACTACAAAAGCAGCATATCATACTTTCTAGTTTCCAACTGGCCCTTTCTTTACATACAGACTTTCCCCTTCTCCAAAACCAGATGGATATTTTTTTTTTTTCTTGTCAAGTCTGTTCCCAATTAAGTGTCTTTCATAGTCAGGGGATTCATCAGAACCAGGATTATGAGCATTACCTGTGGCGTTGCAGAGCTGAAAAAAGGTGTTGCTGCATGTGTAAGAATATAAAGTGTGAGAACTCAGACGTAATGAAGTGTTATTTCTGTTCCTGAGGGTTTCTCCTCAGAGACATTTTTTAAAGTTGACATTTAAAATGCGTTTGGAATTAATCAGATGATCCTGGCGCATAAATAACATCAGAAACGTCAGGTGGCCTACAAGCTGATCATACATTCAAACACATATTTGTGAGTTATGATCCAGTGGAACATTTGAAGCCTCTTTGAAGTGCCTCATCTGTTATTACCCCGTCAGCTTATTTGTCCTTCTCTACTTTTTAAGCCCCTTCTCTCGTGTTATAGCTGCCAATTCTGCTATGAGCCCACACTCCCCAGCAAGTGTTCCCTCCCTAATTATTTTTGGAAGAATGTTCATGTTGATTGTCTGGCTGTCATTCTATTTCAGCTGAATGGCAGACTAATGTCTGGCTCTAAACATCGCCCCGACTTGCATGAAAGGGCAAGGGAAGTGAAAAAAAAAAAAAGTGCCGGTATGCGCTCGCTAACATTTCCACACCCTCCTCACGCCTCCTATGTGCCCTCCTGCTGCAAACCATGGCCATGATTTACAGCCTCTGAGTGAATAATTGCATTCTTTACCAATAAAATCTTGACAAAAGGAATGGAGGGATCCCATTATACATGCCTAAACCCCCTTTAAAGAAGCTTCAATTAGAGGAAGAGAAAGTAGAGTGGGAGGATGTAGGTTCTGGTCAGCTTCACTGATGCCCCGTGGTGTCCTACCCAGGACTCACACTCTCACAGCAGCGTGTGCATCTCCTCTGGTATCAGCACATGTCTCTCCCTGCCTGTGTTTTATAGGGGGAAAGGGGACTTTCTGGGCCACCTGGAATCCAAGGGGAAACTGGGATCGGCCTTCCGGGACCAAAGGTACAATCTTCATCCTATTGTTTTGGAAAATGAAGTCATGGGAACATAATAAAGCACCTGTGTCTCACCCTGCATTCATGTCGCTCCCTACCAATCAGGGTGCTGTGGGTTACCACGGGCCAACAGGGCCTTCTGGTCCTCAGGGACTTGGCGAGCCTGGACCACCGGTGAGTAGGAAGCCCCCCTGTTTCTGACACTACTGTGTACCTCAAGTTCTGTACTGCACACTTACAGATTCAAATAATAACAGACAGATCTACCGGCAGAGTTCACACTGGGTCTTTGGCTTCACACAACAGCAATAAATGAAGGCTGCTCATTTGTTGCTGACTACTTTAGATGTTATCAACTGAAGCAGGTTCAAACACCTGTTAATGCTAAATCAATTAGTCGGTTTTAATCTGTAAATTCTTAAATGTTTACGATCATTTTGAATGAGGAAGCTGTTAAATGAAAATCAAAGTTGGATCCGTCCGTCTGACCCTTGATCATCCAAAATGTCTTCTGCTTTGCAATCCCCACGTGTAACCCTCACACACAAAGTACAGTATATTGTAAAAGAGGTCATTTTTGATGTTCCTCTTGTGGTCATGCAGATCGTTTTGTTTTATTCAGGGGCCTCAAGGGTCACAGGGAGTCCAAGGAGAAAGAGGACAGATCGGAGAGGGTCTCCCTGGACCAAAGGTGAGTTACGTCTTTTACGCCTCTAGCTGTTTGTGCTAACAGTTAAAAGCGTTGACCCCGTTTGACCTCATTTCATGCATTCACCTTCAATTCTCTGCCTACCCACTGACCTGCGCTGAGGACCCAGCTGGGCTCCAGATTTAAGGGAGGAATGACTGACAAAGACACCGTGTATAGTTAAAAGACATGAGAAATTCCATACGTTCACATCTAGTGCAGCGGTTCAGTATGGCTCCCATTACCGCATGATATGATCCGGCCCATTGATCGTCCCCGCTGAGGACACGCCGGCGCACAGCGGCTGATGAGACAGGAAAATAACCAGGACACCTTGTGATGTGACAGCGTGAGTGACTCATGCAGAGAGGAAAGAATGAGTCTGTTCCTGTGTCTGCCTCCCTTCAGGATGTACACACACACACGGGGATACACACAGGTGCACCGGGGCTCTCAATCCAAATGTTAGTTATGTTCCTTCTCACAGATTATTCTATTTTGCTCGGTAAATTCCTTCATGATTAACTGCTTTAGAGTTTAGAATTGTGTCCATGACTCAGTTCAGGGTCCTTCTTTAAAAAATGTTGATCCATTGCTGTTCGTCGCATCTACTGTCTTAAATTAACAAGGTCATTATTGCGCTTTCTACTGCCACCTACTGGCGTGGAAGAGTATTTAATTACTTATCCAGCCACTACATTGAAGGCTCAACAATGGCAAATTATTTACTATTTCTGCGACTAAGTGAAATTGGTTTTCTCACAGCCCTTTGGTTGAAAAGCACTGCCTTAGAAATGAGTTGCTTGTTTTCTGCATTCAACAATTGCAGTCATTTTTAATGCCTGAAAGATAAGGCTATCCCGTGTTTTTCCTGCAGAATTGTAACTTTCAAAGTACTGAAACAGTATTACAGAACTACACAAGTGAAATTAACATAAGCTATTAAATAACACATACAATACGTTACTTAGAAACCCAAGTCAGGTCACATGGGGAAATTATTTTGGAAGTACTTTGTTTTGCACTAAGAAAAGAAGTAAAACCGAAAACTTGCATAGCTACAGAGCTATGAAGAAAACAAGAAGAAATTAATAATGAAGCTTCCCTTATCGTGCTATCAATGTCTGTGTGTGTTCATTTTCCTGCAGCTATTAAAAATGGCCTAAGTCTAATTTCTTTTTTGATATTTTGAAACATGTGCCCCGAAGCCAAATCTGCTCCATAAGTGAACAAACAGCAGAGCGTAATTCTTTGTTCTTTTGATAAATGCAGACAGTTAAATGAAGCGTTATTAAGTTAATGGAATGTCTTGAGGTCTTGACAGATGTAATCCCTTTTGGCTACAGGGTGTCACAACACTGGTGTGGCTTTACATCAGAAGGCACTGTAATTCAGAATTATTTTTTCCACTTCTCCCGTCTAATTTAACATTTTTAAACTTTCCTCTAAAGGTTAACAGCTAGTTCCTGAGCAGGGGGTGGTGGGGGGCTCCTTCTCTTCCTCATCAGGAGATTTAGCGGCGGACTCACAGGTGGCGTTCTTGTTCTCTACGGCGTGTCTCGACAGGCGTCAGACTCACAGGAGCTCTGCAGCCATCTTACCCCGTTTCATCTTCATTAGCACCTCCGCTCCTGCGTCAATATGAGAGGCTTATGACAAGTAAGGGATAATGTGCTGCGACGGGGTCATTATGGGGAAAAGAACACCGACAGGCTGATCAGGAGCCCGACGCGAAGCGGAGGGATCTAGATCGGCATGAAGGTGTTCTTTTCCCCATAATGACCAAGTCCCTGCACATTATCCCGCTTATTACATGGCCACATTCTCAACAAAGTAACGACATGACTCCCACTATTAATTGAAATGCTTTTATGGATTTAGAAAATGATTTTATTGATTAAAAAAATTGTTGTATTGATTTAAATTGACATGCATCCGCTAAGAAAAATAGTCCGTTGTTAATGTTTGAACTAACGGAGCAACGGCAGGAACTGCTTCGATAGCGTTTTTGAGGAGCTTTTTGATTACAGATTTGAAAACATTGCTGCTTGCTTTAAAAGTAGCACAATTCATGATGTCAAACCTTGCAAAGTATCTAGATATCCCTGCCCTAATGCCAAAGTAACTGGCAACTGAATATGTGTCGCTGTTTGATGTCTATGTCTGGACCGTTGCGGAAAAAGGAGGATTTCTGCCCGTTACTTCTCCGCTGTTTTCTTGTCGCTCTTGTCTTGTCAGTTAAAAAAGGCCAAACTGTATACAGTTAAATCGAACGGACTTGTTTGTGTAGATGTGAGCGTCCTTAACAACGGTCAATAAGTGCTTGACAGCGGTCTGTCTGTTCGGTATTAACAACGTGTCACGTGTTCTGAATTGACCAATCAGAATCGAGTATAGCCGCAGTGACGCGTCCTTAAACCCGGAAGTAAACTCCTTCCGGTTCCTTCGTCTAAAACGCAATGCAATTTCTCCATAGGATTTTGGAAAATAGCTCGAAATAAGATCTGTGGTTGACACATATTTAAGAGATGGATCACGTTTTGTTCAGCCGGATAATATCCACATGTCAACCCTACTTT